CCAGACCGCTTTCCACAGTGGTTGCACCATTTTACACTCCCACCAACAGTGAATAAGGGTTCCAGTCTCTCCACAACCTCGCCAGCATTTGTTGCTAGCTGTTCTGTTAAATTTTGCTATTCTTACTGTCACTTTTCTCTTTTAAAAGATTCTTTAATTGTTCCCCCTTTTCGTCCTTCCTTCCCGCCCCGCCCTCACGTGCACTTTGTTATGCATCTCTTATTCTGGATGGTTGTCATGCAAATAATATATAATCATGTATTTATTTTAGACCATTCTTCCCCTCATCTGTTTCAATTCAGTGTACATTATTTATCCTCTCTTAAGTTTTCCCCTAGACCCCACGTTAGCCCTGTTTTATAACAATCGCCTTATGCAGTATTTGTCCTTTTGTGACTGACATACTTCACTCAGCAATATGCCACCCATTTTTATAATATTTTATGAGTTCCTTGTTTTTCAGTGCTGTGTGACTATACCACAGTTTTTATATCTATTCATTTGTTGATGAGCATTTGGATTGCTTCCATTTCTTTGCTGTTGTAAACAATGCAGCAATAAACATGGGCATGCATATATCTGTTTGAGTGGCAGTTCTTGTTTCTTTAGGGTTTATTCCCAGTAGTGGAATTGCTGGGTCCAATGGTATTTCTATTTCCAATTTTTTGAAAAAACTGCCATACTGCCTTCCAGCGTGGTTGTACCATTTTACACTCCTACCAAGAGAGAATAAGGGTTTCATTTTCTCCATAACATCTCCAGCTTTTATTGTTTGCTACTTTGTTGAATTTATGCTGTTGTTACTAGGATGAAATGATATCTCATACTTGTTTTAATGGCAGTGTCTTTTGGAAGCTTAGTCCCTAAGCCTTTTTGTCTATAAAATTAGCAATAGAGATCAACCACTTTAAAGTAAAAGTGGCTCTATTGAGGTATCATTATTTGCTTTTGGGAAAAGCTGTCTGTGTATTAGAAGTTTGTCTCTGGTAGGATGGATACAAAGAGGCCTGGTGGTACAGTGGTTAAAGCATTCCAGTGCCAAATAAAAGGTTGACATTTTTTTTCTTTTCTTTTTAACTGATGTTTTATTTCCCCCCCTTCAATGAAAATCATCAGTTTGAAAACAATTCAACAGCAGAGGTGGTAGAGGAAGCACCTCTAACAATCTTAGAACATAAACTGGTCTCCACAAGAGAACCCAGTAAGAGAGTCAAAGGATACAGTGTCACGTGTCTCTTTAATTTAAAATAAAACAACTAGGAGATATAATCTCACTCCAGTAAGAATAGCAAAATTTAACAGAACAGCAAGCAATAAATGCTGGCGAGGTTGTGGAGAAACTGGAACCCTTATTCACTGTTGGTGGGAGTGTAAAATGGTGCAACCACTGTGGAAGGATGTATGGCGCATTCTCAAAAGGTTGCAAATAGAAATACCATTTGACCCAGCAATTCCACTACTGGGAATTAACCCTAAAGAAACCATCACTGCCACCCAAGCAGATACATGCACACCCATGTTTGTTGCGGCTTTGTTCGCAATAGCAAAGAGCTGGAAACAACCCACGTGCCCATCAACAAATGAATGGATAGAGAAGCTCTGGTATATTCACACAATGGAATACAATGCAGCATTGAAAAACAAGGAGCTTATGAAATATTATGCAAAATGGATGACCCTGGAGGACATTATGCTAAGTGAAATATCTCAGTCACAAAAGGATAAATATTTCGTAGGGCCACTGTTGTAAAACGGGGCTTACATCAGGGTTGAGGGAAGACAGAAAAGGAGGGAGGAATGATGTATATTGCATTGAAACAGATGAAGGAGAGAACTGTCTTAAAGGGACATATGAATGGGTATTCTTGTTGTTACAGAAATCCAGAGAGAAGGCTGCATAGCTGAGTGTACTTGGGGGGAGGGATTGTATAACAATGAAAAAGATTTTCTTTTACTTTGCAAGGAGAAGAGTGAATTGGGGTGGGGGTAGGCAGGAAGAAAAGTGCAGCAGTGAATGACTGGGAACCCTAAGTCTCTGTAAATTTTCAATTTAAAGTAAAAAAAAAAAAAGTAAAATAAAAATTTAAAATCTCCTAAGGCAGATTTTGCTGGAATGAAGCATATTGGCTGGGTTAACCTGGCACCACCAAAGGAGAACAGAGCCTGTGAGGAGCTCTTTGCTCGTTGAATGGGGGTGAGGGGGATAGGAGTTGAAACTGGTCAGTCCAGTGAGTTCAGCAGCACAGACAGATCTCACTGATGTGATGACGACACCAAATCTCCACACGATTCAAGAAGCAGCTCCTCCGAATGGTTTGACGCAAGGACTATGGTTTTTAGATAACCAAAAAGAAAACAACAACAACCACAATTGTACCTTAAAAGAGGTTGAGAAAAATAACAAATAAATTAGGATGCAAATCCTTGGCCCACAGCTGCAAAGCCAGTGGCCGCTTCAAAGTTCATGCGTTGAAGAATACATCCTTTTATTACCTTACACAGGTTGTCCCCTCCTACACATGACTCACACACACCCCCTACAGTAAGAATGAACAATGTTAGCGTCTTTTTTTATCAGTCCGGAACACAGCCACTGATTTCACATGTAATTGGAGAAGCTAACATACCAAGCAGCTCCATGAGAATGATGCTGTTGGTCAAAGGGGAACCGGGGAAAGGACAGGACATGCCACCATCACAGCAACGCTGAGCACAGCACGAAAAAATTCTTGGCAAGCCCCCCCTGTGTTCAAATGAGAAACCCAACATTGACAGCCATCACCCAGGTGTTGCAGCTTGACTGACACTCAAGAGAAGGCTCTGACAACCTATTTTGCCAACAGAAATACACCAGTCACTGCACTTTACAACTGTAAACAGCTCAGCATTGCATGGACATGGCTTTAAGGGCAGGGTTCTGCAGCCAAGCAAAGGCTATCCTGTCCCCCGGTGCCTTTCCCCAGCCGGAGAACAAGACCCAAGGTTTGTCCATTGGAATCTAGTTTTGTGACGTTTTCTTGATCCCAAACAGTACTTCCATCCAAGAGCAACCATCTGGCTTGTTTCATGCCAGCTGCACCTCTGCCAGGAAGATTGTGCCCACCACCGAGCAAGCGTGGATGACTCCACCGAGAGCTGCTTAGAAAGTCCTGTACGTGAGGAACTTTTTCATTTTCGTGGGGATCAGCAGTTCCAGGACTTGGTACATGGTCAGGAAACTGTGGAGGGCTTTCCGGCGTAAGTGCTTCAGCGACGACAGGACCCTCAGTGCCATCCAGAACTAGACATGGCCATTTCTGGTCCCCGTGGCGATCATGCCACCGTGTGGGAAAAATGTACAGCAGAGGCTGTTGGTCATGGGAGCAAATGCAATTGGTGTTTTCAGTTTCCTAGGAGTCTGTCATCCGCCACCGTGGCAAGGTACAGGCCTTCGGGGGAGAAGCACACAGACCTGAGCAAGCTGATGTGGACATCACTGTCGTCCATTGGGGGCTTGAGCTGGGTGTGGTGGAGAGACCTCAGCCTCTCGCCAATGTAGGGGTCCCACATGATCACATTGGTGTCGTAAGACGCAGTGACAGGCAGGGTTGAGTCGGGGAGAAGTCACAAGAGACCACCCTGCCCTGGTGACCTTCGAGTGTCCGGTTGAGTGTGTATGACCTCATGCTCCAGAAAAAGATAGACTTCTCTCCAGCCGCAGAACACAGTATGCTGCAGTCCAGGGAGACAGAGCAGCAGTACACCCACTGCAGGTGGCCCGATAACACCTGGATCTGTTTACTGTGTTTATTCAGGTCCCAGATGCAAAGAGTCTTATCGTGAGATGCGGAAACAAGAATCAAACTGCCATTGACTGTGAAGCTCAGGTCTCTGATGAAACCTGGTGGCTGGAAAGGTTCAGGGGCAGGAGCCCTGTCTGCACCTCCCAGATCTTGGTCTGCCCATCATTGAGCCCTGTAGGGAGGATCAGGCAGGAAATGTCAGGCAGTGGGGGCTGGTGGCAAGGGCCACGGGCTGAAGGCCAGACCCCAGACGATCTGACCACAGTCCAGGGTCTTCTCCTTCGGGCTGCCTCGCCCTTTCAGGTCATTCGTGCAGCCTCTGCTTTTGGCTTTAAGTCCTTTGGGGATGAACTGCTCCTCCAGCAGCCAGGGGATCAGCTTGGTGATGCAGTGTCCTTGAGACCAGGTGAACCAGGGGCCATATGGGGAGAAGGCAACACTCCATGTCTTGCAGCTGGACTTCCAGTCAAACTGGTGGGGACACCTGGGTACCTGGGTTTGAGCTCAGCCAGCAGCAGCGGTTCCTCTCTGGCCTCCATGGAAGATGCGCGTGGCTCCGTAGCAGGCAAACGGAGAAGGGCGCCCCCAGGCCTCTGGCTCTCATGCCTCCCCAAGGTTGGCATTTCTAACACACCAGTCACTCTGCAGTAGAAATAAGTGGTAACCTGTATCTGTAAAGCTTTAGAAACCCTCTAGGTAGTGTTTCATATTCAATAATTGTTAGCTACCTTTCGGTCTACTACAACTCCTATGGACAACAGAATGAACCAACCCCTGCCTTATCCTGAATCATCTTCACAAGTTCTTAAAGCAGATGTGCCCAGGGCAGCACATCTTTTGATTTCTTTTTGACTGCTGCTACCATGAGATTGATTGTGGGTCCAAGTAAAATAAAATTTCCAACTTCATTCTTTTCATCATGTATATCAGAATTAACTTGAATGCAGTGGGTAAGATGGTAGGTACAGCTGGTATAATGTAGGGGCAGAGGATTCTGCTTATAATTAGGAAGCCTAGGTTTAGTCGGTTAATTGTTACTTTAGGGCAAACAATTTCACATCAGTTTGCTGTCTTAGATCCTTTTTTCCTGAATGAGGGACACTAAAATATGACTGCTCATCTTGTGAGACTTTTGAGAGAATTAGGTGAAAGAAGAGGTAGGAAACTTTTTTTAGTGAAAGTGTAATATTAAACAAATGCCAGTTAAAGAAATAACTTTCAAGACAATAAGATTGATTGGCACAGGATAGAGCAGGGTTTAGGGCTGTTATACATAGGATCGCTATGAGATGACTCGATGGCACATAACAACAGCAACAACTATATTATGGGAATAAGACAGGTAAGGTTACTATTTTCATTCAGGTAGTGGAAGGACAGACATGAAATAAGTAAACCATGAATGCTTGACTATTGAAGAAGTGGATATTTGTCTTTTACTGCAGGTGTTTTTGGAGTCCCTCGATGTCCAGGAGCAAGTCACCATATCTGTGACCTGATCAGGAAAACACTGAATGCTGGGGCTTACTCCAAAGTCATTCAAGAACAGTACGTGTGGTTAGAGGATGCAGAACGGTCACTGTGCACATATACCATGCTGACTTCCATGTGAAGAGTGATTCCAGGAGTAGCTACCGCTGATACTCAAATGAGATATTTTTAGGAAAACTTTTAGAAAAATACTAACTCTAAGGAATTACTTTTATTATTTGGAGGACAAATTCTTCCTTTTGTCAGCAGCAAGAGACTGACTGCTCCTCCATTATTGTCTTGTAACTACTCAAATATGTTTTGAGTATTTAAAACATGTAGTGTATTCTATTTCAGTTGTTTTCAAACTTAATATGCAGTCAGGACCACTGAGAAATTAATAAAAAATAGATTCTAGGGTGCCATTCCTAGAAATTCGGATGGGCTAAGTCTGGGGTGTGAGAACTGGTGTTTGGGATTAGGTGATGAGGCTTTATAATCCTCTCTGGGTTTTCCAGGTACTCTCTAATTTTAATATAGCATCTTGAAGCTCTTTCTGTGGTGAAATAACTCGGCCTTGGGAGGTACTCATCTGTAGCAGCTACCTACAGTTAGCTGTCTTTTCGTTTTCCACTTTGGCTGCACTAACAACAGCAACAAAAGACCAAAGTCATTGCTAATTCCCACTCAAGTCAACCCTGTGTGCTACAAGATAGAACTGCTCCATAGGATTTTCTTGATTGTCATATGAACAGAAGCAGATCTGCAGGCCTTTCTTTTGCAGAACTTCTGCATGAGTTTGAACCACTAACCTTTAGGTTAGTAATTGAGTGCAAACCATTTGCACCACCTAAGACCTGTTGGCTACACTAGTCAAAGCCAGATCTCCTGCTGTCTAGTTGAGTCTGACTCAATGACCATGTAGGATGGAGTAGAACTGACCCAAAGGGTTTCCAAGGCTCTAAATGATTAGGGAAGCTAACTGCGACACCTTTATTGTGTGGAGTGCCTGGTGGATTTGAACACTGTCGTTTCAGTTGACAGCTGAGTGCGTAAGCATTGCAGCACTAGGGCTAAATGGTTTTGGAATCAGTAGTGCCACCTGTACAACAGAGAACTGCCAGAAGTCCAGACTGGGTTTAGAAGGGGTTGTGGTAGTAGGGATATTGTAGCTAATGTTAGATGTATCTTGGCTGAAAGCAGGGAACACCAGAAGAATGGCTATCTGTGTTTTATTGATTATGCAGAGGCGTTTGACTGTGTGGATCATAACAAACTGTGGCTGACTCTGAGAAGAATGGGAATTCCAGAACACTTGATCGTGCTAATACGAAACCTATACTTGGACCAAGAGGCAGTCGTCAGAACAGAGCAAGGAAACACTGCATGATTCAAAATTGGGAAGGGTGTATGACAGGGATGTGTCTATCTCCATACCTTTTCAACCTGTATGCAGAACAGATTATCCGAGAGGCTGGGCTCTATGAGAAGTGTGACGTCAGGACTGGTGGAAGATCTATCAACAGTCTGCATTATGCAGATGACACAACCCTACTTGCTGAAACTGAGGAGGACTTGAAGTGCTTGCTACAGAGGGTCAAGGACTGCAGCCTTCAATATGGATTGAGGCTCAATGTCAAGAAGACAAAGATTCTCACCACTGGACCAATTGGCAGCAACATGATGGATGGTGAAGAGATTGAGACTGTTAACAACTTTAGTCTGCTTGACTCCACAGTCAACAGTCTTGGCAATAGCAGCCAGGAAATTAAAAGACATATTGCCATGGGAAAGTCTTCTGTTAGGGACCTCTCCAAAGTACTGAAGAGCAGTGGTGTCACTCTGGAGACTAAGGTGCATCTGATACAGTCCATGGTCTTTGCAATCACTTGTTATGCATCAGAGAGTTGGACAATGACTAGGGAGGATAGAAGGAGAATTGATGCTTTTGAGCTGTGGAGCTGGAGAACAGTATTGAGTGTACCATGGACTGCTAAGAAAACAAACAGATTCATCCTGGAGAGGGTTTAAACTGGGCTGGTTCTTGGAGACAAGGATTCTGGGGCTCTGTCTGACATACTTTGGACATGTTGTAAGGAGGGACAGATACTTGGAGACGGACAGCACAGGAGGGGAAGACCCTCTATGAGATGGATTGATTCAGTGACTAGGGTACTCGGGATGAGGGTGTCGGAGGCAGTGCGATTGGCACAGGATGGAGCAGAGTTTAGGGCTGTTGTACATAGTGTTGCTGAGTCGCAAACTACTCGATAGCACATAACAACATAACAACAACAGTGCCACCTAATGGTCCGTGTAGGTGCTGCAATCCCGTTTCCTTTTTGATGTTGACAAAAAAGAGTTGGACAATGACCAAGGAGGATAGAAGGAGAATTGATGCCTTTGAACTGTGGTGCTGGAGAATAGTATTGAGAATACCATGGACTGCTAGGAAAACAAACTGATTCGTCCTGGAAAGGGTTAAACCGGGTGGCTTCTTGGAGACAAGGATTCTGAGACTCCGTCTAACATACTTTGGACATGTTGTGAGGAGAGACCGGTCTTTGGAGAGGGACATCATGCTTGGGAGGGTGGAGAGACAGCGCAGGAGGGGAAGACCCTCTATGAGGTGGATTGATTCAGTGACTGGGATAATCGGGATGGGAGTGTCAGAGACAGTGTGATTGGCACAGGACAGAGCAGAGTTTAGGGCTGTTGTACATAGGGTCGCTATGAGTTGCAAGCGACTCGACAGCACATAACACAACAACAACTCAATATCCTATGAACTGCCACAGACAGGTCTGTCTTGGAGGTCTGAATATCCAGAAGCAAAGATGGAGAGACTCTGTCTGTCTAGCATACTTTGGACATGTTGTTACAAGAGGCCAAACTCTGTCTTGCAAATTTTGGAGAGGCCAGTCCTTGGAAAAAGACATGCTGGGAAAGGTTCATCAGAGAAAGAGAGGAAAACCCTTAACACGATGAACTGAAACCATGAGTGTAACAATGGGTTCAAGCATCATTAGAATGATGCAGGATATTGTGCACATACTTTGGGCATAATATCAGGAGGAGGCAGTCCTTGGAAAAGGCATCATGCTGGGAAAGGGTCAGCAAAAGAGGAAGACCATCAAGAGAGTGGATTGACACAGTGACTGCAGCAGTGGACTCGAGTATGACAGAGATAGGATGCCACCTGATGTGACAAGCATTGTTCATAGCATCACTGTGACTTGTAGTTGGTGACACCTAACAGCAACGAAGTATGACTGTAGGAAAAGTAGTTGTCAGAAGTAAAATGTAATACTTGAACATTGACATTCCAGGCAGTAGTGAGATGAGACCGACTGGCACTGGCAGCTTTGGATCAGACAATCACATGATATACTATGCCGGGAAAGAAAAACGGGAGAATGGTGTTGCATTCACAGTTAAAAAGACAATTTCAAATTCTGTCTAGAATGAGTGATGTACTAGCAAGGAAGATCTATTAATACGACTACTGTTTAAATATATGCACCAACAATTAAAGCCAAAGAGGAGGAAAGTGAAGATTTTTACCGAATTTTGAAGTCTGAAATTTATGAACCTTACAATCCAATATATTAATGATAATTGGTGACTGGAATGCAAAAGTTGGAAATAAGAAGAAGTGACTGTCAGAAACTACAGACTTGGTGACAGATATTGAATGATCGTATTTTGGCACTCAGTGATTTATTCATCACAAATACCTTTTTGGACCTCACCTCATGGACTGCCCAGGAATGAGACTGACTAAATCTATGGGAGGAGTCATTGGAGAAGCTCAATATTATCAGTCTAAACCAGACCTTGAGATCTTCACTCTTTTCCACCACCACACTTCAAAGGTATCAAATTGTGTTCTGTCATTCCTTAGTCAATGTCTAGCTCTCAGAAGCCTAGCAAGTGATGGAAAAGACCATGGCCTGAATGTGGCGCACCTTAGTCCTCAAACTGACATCGTTACTCCTCAATAATTTGGAGTGGATCCTGTCTACAGACTCCCAGTGCAATGCACCTCCTGATCTCCTGATTGCTGCTACCAAGTATATTGATTGTGGATCCAAGTAAGGTGAAATAATTGACAGTCTCAGCAACTGCAGATTGTTGTGTACTACCGAAAGAACAAACCAGTATGTCCTGGAGAAAGTGCAGCCAGAGTGCTCCTTGGAGACAAAGACGATGAAGCTTCATCTCACATACTTTGGGCATGTTGCTAGGAGAAGTTATTCCTTAGAGATGGACATCATGCTTGGGAAGGTGGAGGGATGGCAAAAAGGGCAGAGACCCTTGGCCAGGTGGGTTGACACTGTCACTACAGCATAGGGATTCAGTGTGCCAGATTGTAAGGCTGGCATGGGATAGGACACTGTTCAGATCTGTTGTTCATAGGGTCACTGTCGTTCATACGTGTGCGACTCGATGGCACCAAACCAAAACAAAATAGACCAGGTGCTAACTATAAAACAATCAATTACTCAGGGGAGCTCTGGTGGCCTAGTGGCAAGAAGCTGTACTGCAATCCCAAAGGTACACGGTTTGAATCCACCAGATGCTCTGCCGGAGAAGGAGGGACAATTTCCTCCTGTACCAGTCAGATCTGATTTGAAGGTACATGTACAAAAAAACAAACAAACAAAACAATCAATTACTCATACCCAACCTCAATTTGAGGAGGAAGAAAATAAAAACAAGTCCCTAAGAACAAAAATATGACTTTGAGTTCTATCTCACACGAATTTAAAAATCATCTGAAGAATAAGTTTGAAGATGGAACACCAGAGATGGAAGACCAGATGAGCTGTGGGCTAAAATCAAGGATATCATCCATGAAGAGAGCAAAAGGTCACTACAAAGACAGAAGAGAAAGAAAAAAACAAAATGGATGTTAGAAGAGACTCTGAAAATTGCACTAGAGCATTGAGAATCCAAAACAAAGGGAAGAGATGCTACAATGAAAGCTGAACAGAGACTTCAAAGAGCAACTTGAGAAGACAGAGCAAAGTATTATAATGGAATGTGCAGAGAGCTGAGATTCAAAAGAGATGAAT